CACAAAAGTTAGTTCTTGAGGATTAAGACTTTTCTAAAGGTTTTTACTTTCCTTGACTTTGGAGATATAGCCTACCAAAAAAGAAGTATTTTCAAACAGCCTGGGCAACAATCTTTACAAGGGCATGGAAAAAGCTCACTTTCAGAAAACATGAAAATAACTGCAAGCTGTTTGACAATGCCATCACAAAAGTGCCATAGCTGAGTTTAGTAGGCTGTGTGAAGAAAAAAGCAGGACAATCAGTAATCACTAGCATTGCCAAGGACCATTTCCATTTCTACAATATGTGTCCAAAAGAGATAAAATTGCGCAGCCTTGTATATCACAAACAGATGTTTTGGGCCTAGCCCCTAATATCCCACAAATGTTAGGAACTGAACAGGACTTGCAGGACTCTTTCCTTTAATACCCTCAGCTTATTTTTGGATTACTGTGTGTAATATAAGAGAATAATCACTATGACTCATTTTCTCAGTTTTCAAAGATGTTTGTTTCCTGCATTCCTCGCTCACGCCATCATCAGCAGGCATGACTGGGCCTCACACAGCTTCTTCAAATATAACTGGCAGGCTATCAGAGCACTCAATCAGCTTGATGGATCGCAAATGTTTGTTGCATAAACTTGTTTATCCAGACCTTTCTTACTTGTTATCTCAAGAAACTCTCCATTAATCATTGACAACAGCGAGACACAAAGCTGTGATTCAAAAGAAGACTTTTTTCATTCTCATTCAGCTCGTTTGAAAAGATCATGAGAGAGTTATGAGCAGGAGGTGTAGTGATTGCCACTTTGTTGGTGGTTTTCTACCCTGTCTGTGATGGTCAAAGGTCTTAAACTTGGGACATAACTTCAGAGACCAGGAACAAACATCCGTCACATTAAGAAGTGCCACACCACAATGGAATTTTATTAAAGTTTAATCTGACAGAGGGCTAAAGTATGATGGTACGAAAGAACAGCAAAGGAGTTTAGAGAGACTTGATGAGGAGTGAAAAGAAAAGGGTTGGGAAAGATGGAAAGAGAGAGCCCTCTCTGCTAAATTCCTTTGTCAAAGCTTATCCAATCTGACAGAGGAGAAATGGACCTGAGTACAAAGTTTCTCCCAGCCACATCCTGTTGTGAATCCCATAAATGTGACCTGAAACCTCCCTGCCTCCATGCAGTAACAAGGATGCCAGTAACTCCTGTTTAATTTATTTTTATCCAGCAGCTCTTGGTGCTGGGTTGGGGTTGTTTTTTTGTTTTTTTTACATATGGTGGAAATAATGTTTAGTTTGGTTGTGTGTGTGTGTGTGTGTGTGCGCGCGCGCTCGTGTTTCTGTCTGCAGCTCATCTCTGGACATTTTACTGAACCCATCAGCCTAATTTTTTTGTGCACATTTTGATTGTATAACATCAAAATTTTGACTAAAATATTTTTAATCACTTTTTTGTAATGTAATATGGTTGTTGCTGTAATTGGATTGCTTTTGTAATATAATTTCTTTTAAATATTCATTTTTTATATTTCTTTCAATTAAAGAGGTGGTATTATGCTCATTTTCAGGTTCAAAATCTTATTTAGGGTACTAGAACAGGTTTACATGGTTTAATTTTCAAAAAACACCATATTTTTCTCATACTGCAAATTGCTGCAGCTCCTCTTTTCACCCTATGTGTTGTACGCTCCGCTCGTGAGCTACAGAGTGATGCATCTTACTTGTACAAAATCTTTGTTTGGAGTTGCACATGCGCAGTTCCCAGGTAAGGACTTGTTTCAACTACTTGTCGTCATAGGCCATACACAACTGCCGCGACGTAATGTTCAAAGCGACACACACACACCAGTGATCCACACAGTTTTATCTTTTCTAAGTTAAAACGTTTCAACATTCCTCAGAATGTAAAGACAGATAAGCGGTATGAAAACCTTCTAGCTGTTTTCCTCTGCCGTTGTTGCTGCAGAGGTCTGTGTGACGGTGGGAGCAGAGGGCTCTGTGAGCGGGCGGCTGGCCGGCCTCACACGCTCCTCCCGCGGATTGGCACAGGCTTCCCCCGCAGCCACTTGCAGAGCTCCTCAACTCCGAAAATATTCAAGCACATTTTTTTTCTGCGATCACTTATCGTGAAACTGTCAATATTCAAAATCTATACAGCTGATTTCTTACCTCAAAACTTCTCAGAAGTGGATTTAGTAATGAAATTGCATATGAAAACTGTAAAATATAAAACTTTCTGTTGCTGGCCTCTGTCTGGCGCAGTGATGATGCAGTGAATAGTGACGATTCTCTCTGACCAATCAGCAGTCTGTCAAGTTTTCACGTTACATTTTAGTATCCCTCAGCTCGCTTGGAACCTCGATGGAGGTGAGGTGATATGAAAAATAGTACCTGGAAGCAGGTACAGGTACAACATTTCTACAATGGAAACCCAAACAAAGGCGAGAGGAGCCAAAGGGCCTCTGCTCAGACTAGCTTGGTTTGAGGGCGTGCCTGACCCCGCTAGCCGCTTGGCAAACTTTATGACGCATTTTCATTGTGACGTCACAATGAAAGGAAGTGAAGGGCTGGACTACAAACGAGCTGTTTTCAAGCGGTTCAGAGCAGAGCTTTCTGTGGGAGATGGGAACTCCCTTTGGGCTGGACTTTTGGGCTGGCAGTGACTTTTTCACTTTGCAAACCTGTTACATACAAGAAAGATATATAACTCAATAAAGGTAGGCGCAATGTAGTCTAATTTAATATATGTATAAGGTAAACTCCGAAACTGCCAAAAGTTTTTGTCTCCTAATGACATGAAACAGATAAAACATCCTATTAATTATATAACAAAGTTGGACTCCTGATTCTGTTATGGCCCCTGTCTGACCTGTTGATATGCAGGTGTGGTGTACTACTTAACTGTGTCTTGTGTTCTTGAAGGTACCAGAGAAACTGGCTTGCATCAGCACCTTATCCTCCATCATGCTCACCCATTCCCATCTACGTCGCTGGTATTACTTATGGACACACTCCACATTTGTAGTATTTCTTTAATTTCTTTAATGTCATCTTTGCAGTCTAATTACAGTAATGTAATCTCATTACTTTTTAAAAATCAAATAACTTTGTATTTGTAATATTTTATTTTATTTTTGTAAGTCGTGCTACTGCATACTTTCAGTACAGACTTCATTTAAACTTTAAACTTTAAACATAAAACTTTGAACTATTAATCTTTAATTGAATTCGCCTTTTACAGTTTACAGCATTTGAAGTTTTTTAATTACCAGAGTTTGAATTTTTTTGAGTTGCTTTTTCAGTCCAGTCTGAGTTTCTAATGGGTGTGTATTGCTACTTAGAGTTGTTGCATGACCTTGATGATATGAATAGGCCTACTGATGTTTGTGTATTGTTGTTGTGGGCTGAATTGGTTTCCTTACAATGTTTTACTGGGGAACAGTGACTCTGAGGCTGGCACCCAGTCTGTACATTGAAGGTGCTCACCACATAGCTCAGCAGAGCTTGGTGTATCCTTGTCAGAAGTGATGAGGTCAGAGCCTAGATGCCAAATATCAACTCTTTATTCCAGCATCTGAAAAAACCTTGTGATTTGCCATGACAAAAAGTTGTAGTTTTTAGGATACTGAGGTCAAAATTCAGCACAGATGCAAAGAAATAGTGGGATCTTTAGGTGTGTTTTAAGATGTCTCAGTGGCAGTAGTTGCTTTTGAGTCTCGGTGTTGTGATAAAGCACAGACTAGGATGAAAGAAGCTTTGGTAATATTTGAGAATTCCAAGGAAATTGAAGATAGTTGGAAGCTCTCATTGAAACGGAACCTCTTCAGCCAGCTAGATGGGTCGTCCAGTTCCAAACAAAATATGCAAATGATTTGCATTCACTTTTTTCCTCCCGGTTAGATTGTCTTGATTTCAGCAAGAAGGAAGCAGTCAAAAGCTGCTGGCATTTTGAGATTGTACCACCAAAGAGTGGCATTTCCTTTTGAATTTGGATCTCATGTTGTTCAATAAATCTGTGTGATTGCAGTTTGTTATTAATTATGAAAGGAGTTTTTCCAGTGGGTATTTGGGTCAGTTTGTCTTGACGTAAAGGCTGTGGAGAAAGGATTAGGGGCTGCCAGAGAGAGACATGACTACTGACAGGTGATTTGTTATTTCTCTAATTTTTCTTGTTTAAAATTGAGGCACCTTTTTGTGTTTGAAGCACACAAAATCACGTGGATGTTCTTATTTTACTGCCTTAAGTGCAAGTTGCAGTTGTCTATTGTTAAGTATTGTCTGCCCTCTGGTGTAGAGAAAGGGTATGCTCTGTCATATGACTGTGTCATAATATTACATTTTATGAATTTAAATTATTCAGCACTGTTTGACAGTGTTTTTAATCACACAAAATTGCCTTCGATTTGTACAGGGTTATCTTTTACTCCTGGGTAGCTCTGTCTCGGTGTTCAAAAGTTCAATTGCTCAATAAGTTTGCCAGATTTAATAGCCTCAGATCCAATCACAAACATTTCATTTCAGCTTCTCAACTAATTGGTAATTACTCAGTGTTTGTGACAGCCTTTCAACAGAAGGAGAGGCATGAAGGCTTGATCAGGGTAATTACATGGCTGCCCTTCAGCAAACAGACTCACTCAACATCAGTCAGAAAAAAACATAGTTGTCATTTAGATTCCCCAAATACTGTACATCACTGTCAAAGAATTTATTCTATTTGGATTGCTTCATTTTTCTAGGCCCAAAACATATGCTATTATTATGAATTGCAATAGTGTTGGAATTTTTGACATTGAAACAACATATGGTTTCCAGTAGAGGGTGGTGGTGTTTCACTCGTGCTTTGATCACAGACAATTCCATTCAGCTTGTGTGTATATATATATATATCACCATGGTATCACCACAACACTTCAGACTGAATTATGATCAAGGCACAATAAAGCAATAAAGTATTTTATCTGCGTGGATCTATTCCAGTTGTGTTGGGCAAAAAGGATGAAAACTATTACAGTCTCTTCATCTCTGTGAGGCGTGTTATCGTTTAATTAGTCAAACCAAACTTAAAAGACAATACAGGACTCTGTTTTTAACATCTTTAAATTCACTATTTAATTTTGTACATCTAGTCACAAAAAAACAATCAAGACCTGCCAATATCTTTCTCTCGTATTTTCTCTCTCTCTCTCACTCACTCACTCACTCACACACACACACACACACACACACACACACACACACACACACACACACACACACACACACACTCAACATACTCGCTTGTGCTATTTTCTATCTTTGATTCATTTCTGCTTTTATAACTTAAAAATAATTTAAATAAAAAACATTGATTTTCATGGGCACTTGAGAGAGATGAAATAGAAATGAAGGAGCTGGGTGACAGTGTTTTCTTTACTGAAGTAAATGGGAGATGGGTTGTTCAGAGTCTAAAGTTGTTCTCCCAGAGGAAGGAGTCATTCCGCAGCACTTTGGCCAATTTCTCATTGAATGGCATGTAGAAATCCTGCAGGATCTCTTTAGTAATGGGCAGCATGGGTCCTAGGTTTTTGTCAGCTGGTCTCCTGGTGTTTGATGCTGGACTTCTTGTGATCTCTGACTCTCTTTCTTTCGTCAGTGGCCCTGTAAAACACACAAACACTTCTTACATATCCCTTTGTTTCTGGGCCATTTCAGATTTAGCTGCAGCACTTTAAAAAAAAAAAAAAAAAGGAGTAAAATATAGCAAAGGACACTGAAATGTCACTGTGCATCAGCAGTGCTCTGAGCAGAAGATTTGCCGCTCTGGGAGGTAATCGCACCTTGGCTGGTGTTGGCAGCTCTTTGAAGAGAGAAGTCTGAGCTTTGGGGCAATCAAACTGTGGGATGAACCAATGAGACAAAAATAAGGGGGCTTCCAGACTACAGGGCACAACTGTGTTTGACTGCCGCACTGCCACATGGGCCCAGTACTAACAGCAATCTACTGTGTACCCCAAGGAAAGATTGGTACCTTTGATAGTATAGAAGGTGTAAGAAAGTTCAGAACTGTAAGGAAATTAGATTTTCTTTTCCAAACTAGTGGGCTCTACACAACTTCAGACCTTCAAAATCAACAGAATTTACTAATTCAACACATGCACTGCTCTTTGTTAACATGGTAGACAGTAGTTGAAAACCCTCATTATCACCCTTGAGCACTTTTAACTCTACATGCAGACATTCGTGGCCGGTTGATGTTTTGACTTTTGTTTTCTTGCCGATACCAACTTCTGATTTAAAAAAATTAAAATCTGTCTCTCTCTCACTGTGTGAACCTGTTTGGGACTACACATCGGTAAGCAAGTGGAGCTTTTTATATGTCAGGTATTCTGTAGGCACCCGTTTCAATAATCACAGTCAGTGACATGCATTTAATATTACTTATCCCTACTTGTCTTTAGTGATCTGGTTTGTACTGTGCTGAGTACCCAAAAGGTAATGATTTAAGACAAGGTCATATGTTGGGGTGTGTTGCTAACTCACCCAGGTTAAGGAAATCAAAGACTTTGTGCATGGTGTATTTCCTATTTGAGGCATGGTCTTCCAACCTCAGGACCAGAATCTGTTCCCTGTTGAAGACGGTCAGCCAGTCCATTAGGTACACAATGTACAGGCCAACTTGCAGTCTGACCTGAGGACACAAAACAGGAGGATCAATGTTAGATAACCCGGCTCTATCCAAGAAATGCCCTCTTTAGCAGAGGGACACGGTGGTGCATGCATGGTTAAATCTTTTTAAGTTAATGAGCAGGGAGGGAGGGGAACATGGGGGGAAAGAATTCCACCAGCTCTCTCTTTCGTCTTCCCCATGCATTTGACTGGGTAATGCTAGGCACCGTGTGGTGCACGTGTGGTGCACGTGTGGTGGTATATGTGGTGTGAGTGGTTGAGGGATCTGAGAAAGATGGAGTTTCTTCTCAACTCAGAAACCTGTATCACCAACTGCCAGAGAAGCCAATACCCCTTTATACCCCTACATGACGTTGTAGCCATAATTGGGATTCATTAATTGTAATGTTTTAATGCAAAAATGACAAACATTCATTGATTTTAGTTTCTCAAATTTGAGATGCCTTTGCTTTTCTCTGTTTTATATCACCTGTAAATATAATATCTGTGGATTTTGGATTGTTCATCGGACAAAACAGGCAATTGGATGATGTCAACGTGGGCTCTGGGAACATGTGATATGCATTTAACAATCCCAAAAATAAATTGGCCTCTTGTATTTTGTGAGATTTCACCAGAGCATTTGGAGGTGGCCTAATTGCTGTTGAAATAATTTTTTAGATTCCATGTGGCAGTTCATTGCAGAACAGTAGCCATAAACAAAACACCTTCTTACTGTGAAAGGAATTATCTCTGTGTCCTTTTGCCTCTTTAGCAAAACTGAATGGCCTTTCAGAAAGAATGATTACAAGCCAGGCCAGCAACTCTTTGTTAAATCAATTTGGTACAACAGTGACGGCCAAGTGTGTTCTCAGGCTGGTGTTTATTCGCCTTTTCTCTCTAGACTCTAATCTGAGCTGTAAAACTTTAATCGGGGAGCCACAGGCACGAGAGACTACTGTAAGGACAGCTGTAATGCTTTTCACATAGTCTAATAACTCTGAGGAGATATTAGTGGATGGACAATTAGGCCAGTGGCAAAAAGCAAGCATACTCCCAGAGGGCCATAAAGCTTGTCAGTGGCAGTTGGAGAGGAGGACTTCTAAATATAAGGCAGCCTAGAGGGGGAGCTATAAGAGGACAGGCTAGTCTCCTCCCTCCCCTCTCTCAGCCAGTCTGCCCCAGAGCACTATGTAGAAAAGCTGGCCTGGGGCCCAACATTGGGGCCCTGCACTGGCTGACACTCAGACTTGGTCTGTTTTGTAAGTAAGAAGGAAGTTCACACCACTGATAAATTAGTTTCTAGTACAAAGAGGGTCTCTAGATGCTGCCCTGCTCAGTGATACAACAGTGTTGCCAATCCCTTTTATAAAGTCTGTCCTGCAAGCTTTAGCATGAGCTAATGAAGTGTGGGTTTCACTCCATCTGTCTTTTCTACTCCTTTTCTATTTTGCTTCCCACCAGCTAAAACGCCGGTCGCAAAAGTCCGGTCTTCTGCACCACTGTGAGACAAAAGCAGGAGAGAGAGTACACTCACTGGCATGGCATTGTTGACTGTAGTGTTGTACACACAGGAGCGCATTGTGTACTCCATAAGGCACCCCTCGAATAACTGCAGCGACTCTGACACCTTCTCGTGAAAATCCTCTGCAGACTTATTGGCAATACCAAAGTAAAGGTAGTCAGAGTAGAGCCTGCAAGACAACAGAGGTGATCTGTAAACTCATTTGAACACTGAAATTTCACTTTTGCAACAGAGGATTTATGACCGTGTTTTTCAGATTTCCACAGATATTCAGCTTTTTAAAAGAAGCAGACGTTTCAACCTTTTCTTCACCCATCACTGTAGTTTACAGTAAACAAACCATGGCATAAAATGCTCTGTCAAAGAGGAGATCATGAAGTCTTCTTCTTGTCAGAGAGGAGCTAAGGTGGCTAACCAACTAACACAACAGCTTGGACTATTCATTTATGAAGGAGAAGGAGAAGTAGAAGAATTGCACATCTGGAAGGACGTGTTACATTCTCCAATGGATGATTTGATTTTAAGCACCTTGGAGGCCAGACATCTAACCTACGCCAGAGCTGCTGGCTGAGAAAAAGACAATGACAATATACTTTTTAAAAATTTGTTAAATTAATTGAAATGATGCAGGATTGGATATTCTTCATGGCATCAATTCCATAAAACTGAATAAACAATATTTGAAAAAGCGGACATTAAATCCAGCTTATGAAGTAAGATCAATAACACTTTTCAATAGTACATTTTTATTATGAGGCAAAAGGCTGTTATAATGAACATATTCAGACATTGTCTGAAGTAACAATCAACATTAACAGCATAAAATAATCCCAGTTTAAACAGAGTGCTTTGCAGGCATTCAGCAGTAAGATTGCCATGCCTGCCATAGATGTCATAATGAAACTTGCCAGACTGAGTAAAAGGCAACACATCTTCTGTGACAATAGGTCTTTTGTTTCCTATAAACAGGAAAAGTATCTGTCTGTATCTGCAGTGTAAACAGCCATGATAGAGGCACAAAGGTGCCAGTGTGTATCACAGAATTATATCTGCATCGTTACGGGCATTTCCAGTGCAGATTTGCAGTAGAAGGCAGTGAAACAGATTACTCCCACCTTTCCACTGGGTCCCTGAGCATAACAATGAAGCGGGCATCAGGCTGCAAAGCGTGGACGAAGTCCTGGATAAGGAAGGGAGGCTCTCCCTCTGTAGTGTTGTCATAGAAATACACCCAGGCGTTGTTATCCCACATGGTGGATGCGCTGGCTTCTCCTGCAAAACACACCCACGGTGGTTCAAATAGAAACATCCACACAGACCATCATACACATAAAATTATGCAATCATGCAGAGACCAAACATAACACACCTGTACACATTTTCATAGTTTTTCGCAATCTTTAGCATTGCATTTGATGTGTGTAGTTCAAAGAGTAATTGATTAGTCGATTCAAAGGATTGAATTGAATACACAACTATTTTGATTAATCTTTTAAGTCCTTCAACAAGCAGAAATTTCAAATATTTAATGTTTCCAGCTTCTCAAATGTGAGGATTTGGTGCTTTTGTTATTATTATTATTATTGAATATATTTGGGTTTTGGACTGTTAATCCAACAAAACAAACATTTTGATGTTCTATTGAATATTAAATTAATGAATAAATAGATCAAGAAAATAATCAATAGATTTTGATAAAGATTGTTGTTAGTGGCAGCTCACGATAATCCGTAAATATAAACCGTTTGTTTCAGCTTCTTCACATATTTGCTGGAACTAAAGGACACAGCATGTTCCCAACACACATGCAACAAGTCATTAAAATGAAAGATTCTAAAGCAAGTGCACAAACAGCAAAAGCAAAAAGTAATTACATCTTCAGCTGTGAGCAAAATTGTGGACTGAAATCCACATAGTAGCAGTTCTGGTGTTCATAACGAGTCAGAGGACGTTGTTTCTCAAACTATTTGAGAGCAGAAACTTTATCGGGCTGTGCTGAGAAATGATATCCAGGATTCATTAGACTGTCTGTGCCTTCATTATCCTCTTATCTGTGAAGTGAAGCTGTGATGCTTCCTCAGAGAAAGGGATGATAGCCAGGTCCTATTTTCTGTGATGACAACAGTGAGAGTGAAACAGGATCGCTGCTAATGCTGTCATGCGTAAAATGATACACACTGTGATCAAATCTATTTAAAGGTCTCTAGGTCCAATAAAAGGGCTTATTTTGTTTCACGTGGAGAGGGTGTAATAGGGCAAACAAATGGCGGAGCCAGACCGGCATGCCTCTGGTGTTGGCCGGCAGTTGAAGGGAGTCAGAAGCCCAAGATCCTGGCCACAGGCCTGCACCTTGCTGGGCTCTCCCAGGGCATGGTGTGAATACTGAGCAGAGCGTTGGCACACTCCCCCCTCCTTACAAGGATTATTTATTTAAAGAGGGAAACAAAACAGGGCGGCATGTTAAGCTGCACTCAATGCACCAACTCAGTCCAGTGTGAAAAGGCTATTGTTGAAAACTTAAATCAGTTTTTCTTTGCAGCTGAGCAGTTCTTTGAGACTGCGTTTGGACAACGCGAAAAGACAGAGACAGATGGAAGCAGAGGCGCTAGGAGCAGGATATGCAGATAGAGGACGGACGTTTATAAGAGTTCTCCACCCACTGCGGATATTATTGCTGTCCTGACATAAAAAAAGAACAATGCTTCCTTTCTGCGGCACTTCAGTGAAGTGGCTAAGTGAAGCAGAAGGAAGTCCAGTATTATTAAGCAGTTAGAGCCTCTTTTCAGGGCTGTGTCACCAGCTCTCTTAAAAATGACAGTCACTCCCTGGACTGAAAGTGGCTGCTACATAGTAGCTCTGTGCTTCAGCCTAGCTACTTGCTGCTTTGATAGCAGTTTTGTAATTCTGGAGGCGAGATTAAAAGTGAAGTTCCAAGCAAATGTCAGATCACCCCAAGCCAAACACTATTGGGTGCGGCCTGATGAGTGCACAGAGTACCGTCAGTCCACGTTCCACAAACCGAGCACAGCGATACCGTACATGACCTAAGTCACTAATATGATACAGCAGAGGGAGGAGAGCTAAAGCTGTTCTCTGAGTCTGACAAAACAGGAAGATAGAGATTCCATTGAACAGAAAGTGTTTCTGCAACTGACACTGCCTGGAGATCTGATTAGCAACATCACAGTCATAATTTGTTCCACGCGCTGTTAGCTTCCCTCTAATAATCATTTTGTCGTTATTCTAAATCCCACAGGTGTTTAAATCAGGATGTCCCAGTCAAGTTCTTTTGGCCCTGATCCGGTCCAATCCAATACTTACCAGATGACTTGCAACCACAGCAAGCAAATTTCAAAACAAATGAGCACCCACAAAGTTGGGATTTAAACTATGTAAACTAGTGCACTAATACAAATGGGATGGCTTTTGGCCTCCCAGAGTCTATAAAGATGCCATAAATAGCGTGTTTGCACTAAGGTTAATTATCATTAATGGACAATTCAAATCAACAAAATATCTGCCTTATAGGTGTCACGGTTCTGGGGTGTTGGTGTTCATGTTTCCTGTTTTACTTTGAAGTTGTTCTGTCTCTCGTGTTGTCGTCTTGTCTTACTTCCTGACTCTGTGTTCACTGATTGTCCGATGTGTATCACCTGTGCCTTGTTATCTTCAGCCCGCCTGTGTATATCAGTGGTTGTCTCTCTATCACTCGTTGCGCTTTCATTTCTCATGAATGTTGCACCCAGTGTTTACTACCTGTGTCTCGGTCATGCCTCTTCTCAGGATTATTCCCCTTGTTTCCCTCGTGTTGTTCGGACTTACTTTTTCAGTTTTGGATTTATGGATTTCTCACCTGTTTGTTGTATAGATTATATCTTAATCTCACTTTATCTCACCTGTGAGTTTCACCTGTTTATTTAATAAAACCCCACTAAATATACCTCTGTCTCCTAAGCATCACCAAAACCCCTGTTTCCCGTCTCTGCACCATAGCAGATCATAACAATAAGTGTGGCTTTCACCCATGCACAGCTAAGCTTTGGGTTGCTTTTCAGTGATTTCGGATTTTAAATTTATAATGACCTGGACACTGGTTACTAGCTATATAGAAGTGCATACATTTGGTGGTAACATGCTTACAATGATTTAGTTTAAAAGATTTCATTTATGAGGCACATACACAATCATACAGTATTTCTCTTACCTATGATGATGTTAGGTTGGCTGGGGCTTCCACTGGCATTTGCTGTGAGGTTGCCCTGGATTTGGTAAGCAGCCTGATCAAACAAGTCCAAGTAGTCTTCCACTGGGTATCTATCATGAAAGCCCTCGCTCAGACGGATAATACCTGGTGAAGGAAGAAGACTGGGATGGTAAACACACCCCGTGGGGTACAATTGCATCTCTAGTGCATGTTTACTTTTGTTGGCAAGTTATCACATCTTATATTTAGAGAGAGTAGAGACAGACTAATATGTTTCTCTTTATGAGGCTACAAATAGTGAAATTTGACATGGTGTTGGTAGGAATCTGTAGTACTGAGATGCGTGTGTTTACATCAAGTATGTTTAAATGTCTGCCAGCCCCCTCCTCTCCATGTGTTTCTGTAATCATCATCTAAGAGGTAATTAGGGCTTCTGTGCTGTCCTGACTGTAGGGTGACCAAATAAAATCCAAATTTCAGATCCAATCCAATCAGCAGGGAATACTGTCCCTGCTCAGTTTTCAGTGTTTCTAATTAAGGGCCAATGTCAAGTTAATACTTTAAATGCAGGACAAATGTGTTTTTCTTCTGAGCTGCTGTATAATTACAATTTTCTAGGCAATTGTGGTGATCCAGCGTAGGACTTTGGGGTATCCATGCAGCATAAGGATAATGAGGTAGCTCAGGTGTCTGTTACTTTCAGTGATGCTTTGATGGTGTCTCAGTAAAGCACCTTTCTCTAGTTAGCACGAAAACATGATTAGAGAACTCTGATAAACTTTCCAAAACCTCCAGCCCTGCATCATTATTAATCCAGAATGGTTACTCTCATATGAGGTCTGAAAAAGCTGGTGTGAATCTCTGCGAGGCTTTTCTAAAATTGTTTTATCCCTTTGCTTTTTGATATGAATGAAGCGTCAAGCAATTTTCAAATAGTCTGTGTTTCTTGATGGGTACTGTATACAGCAGGCACATCTGATTAAGATTCAAACTGCTCCTCTAAGAAAGTTGTGTGGCGCGGATCGCATCAAATCACCTTTTTTTTTACTGCATTGGTTGAGTGGAGCCTCGAGGGGAATTAAATAAATAAATACAAAACAAGACCATTTGAATTCAGAGTGTTCTCAGAGGATGTTTTAAAGGAAAAGTGCTGATTACCGGTGCATAGCTCTAAGTGCAACGCTAGAAGGGATAGAGAGAAAGAAAGAAAGTGGCAGCAAAGATGAAAGGATGGGGAGTGAGGGGGGACAATAACTGAGAGGAACCTATGTCCTTGGGATGCTACTACGCAACATCACAGGCTGCCTAAAACACAAGCGTGAAGCGGACAAATTAAGGCAAACAACTCATCCACATCCCGCAGCTTTATGAGGTTGAAATAATTATCAACTCAAACTGAACACAACACATTAAAATAAGCATTGCATGCAGACTGATCAATCCACCGTTTTTGTGAGTCTTAGAGGGATTAGGGGCATAGTCAGCAACTGGATGAACTTCAAAAGGATTGCTTTGGCTGTGACACTTAAGCCTCTTTGATATTTGTGGGTAAAATTTGGATGTATTTTTTTTTAAAAAGGTGGCCAATACTGTATCTAGCTCCCTCAACAGGTATTGTGCCAAAACCCTGGGTGAAATTATTAATTAATTTTTAGACAGACAGCTCCCGGCAAAACAAAAGTCAGTCATTACTGAGCAGAAGAAGAAGCACACATCCACAGTTAAGAATCACCATTAAAAAAACTCATGAAGTGTAAGTCCTCATGCTGAGAATTGTGATATTATCGACACGCTGTATGTACTCATCTTTTAACTCAGTATAAAGTCATTATTTAATATGCTTTCAATTTTGTAATCACAGCTGACTTTGAACAGATCGGCGGCCTACAGTTTAACTGCTGCTCTTCATGTCTTTTTTTCTCCTTCACTCTTTCTTCACAAATGCACACACTGACTCACACTCCTGATGCCTGCCTCTTCAGCTGCTGAAGATTCTCCATTATTTGTGAGCCTTTATGGCTGTTTCAGTTAAGGAAAAAAAAAAAGCAAAGATAAATTTAGAATCTTAGCCTCTTTAAGACTGTTACTGATAGCCTGAACTCGAATTATTGACTAAATTTGATTCTGAAAAAATATTTCGGATCAAAGGGGAGAACAGACTGAAGATTCTTTTGTTTTAGTGTCATCAGGGAAAAGTCACCAAAACAAACCAAAGGATCAACTCAACAGAGCATCTGCAAGTGAAGTGAAGGTTGGATTTGTTTAATACAGAGTGTTTTCAGTTCACCCAAATAGTCTCACTCCCAATTCTCGCTTTGGTTTTTAATCCCATCTGTGGTGTGGTGGTTCTTTTAACATCACAGATGCACATGGCGATGGAAATACACAATGGCATCCACACATTTAGATGACAGAACCGCCATACGAGCAGATGTCTGCTGTGAGGCAGCTCTTACCTCTCGACGCACAGTTTGAAGGTTTATCTCTTTGTTTGAGAAAATGACATATTACCACCTGTTCAGATTCCATTGCAACCAAGAGTGTAAGCCAGGATTGTGGCAGTATTTGTGAAACAGGCCAGTGATTATGTGATAATGCATAAGTCTCCATCAGCTAAATTGGTAAATATTCCCTAAAACTAGTGAAAAATAACATCCAGAAGTAAGCCTTTAAGAGTTAATAAAATATTCAACAGCTCGAACAATAAATGACATGATTTGCATTTTAATTAAATAAATGTATGATTACTGTTAGTCTTTATATATATATATAGTATAAAATGCAAAGAGGGCACAGCCAGGACCATGTAAAATAAAACAAGAACTAGAAGTTAAAGGAAGCAAAGTTCATGGAGGGGAGATGAGTTGTAAAGAACGAGTGCAACCTCAAAGTTTGCTAAACAAGTGCAGGAAACAGTGCGCCCACACATGTGGGTTCAAAGTGTGTGAGGAGGCTTCTGACGATGTATTTTTCATGTGTTCTTTTCAAGTGGTTTCTACCACAGAGACAAATCTATGTCACAGATGATGGTGAAGTACAGTCAGTCTACATCCTTCTGCATATAGGCCTAGTTGAGCTGTTAATGAGCACCGTCCCTGCATGAGCTCAACCGTCTATGTACCAAGATGGGCAAGTTGCACTGTTAAGAGGCTGACTGTGGCATAAAAGCACACAGGAGGGGGGAATAGAAAAAAAGACGATTAGCATTCAAACTGCTGAATGGAGGAGGCAATAAATACACCATTAGAGCTGTAAATTTGGGGCTAACGACTCTCATGTAGAAAATAAACAGTTTAAGTTTATTTTCATGCACAGCACAAGATGGGTCATGAATATTCATTTCTCAGTTAATTGCACTGGGAGACTGAACTGCGTGCATCAGAGATACTTAATTCATTTCACATTCAGCGCTCACATCCAGCTAGGTTCAACATAAAGAAACAATTGCAGTTACAATTTTGGTATATTTGATATAAAAAAATTGTCAGTTTGACAAAGGCTGGAGCAGTCAGTCAATATCCAAAGGACTTTCCTCCCAATGAACTACATAAATCTGTAGAAATGATGGAATTAAGTTACCGCAACTCACATCTTAAAAATAAGCTGACAGTAACAATACAAGAAAAAAAACTGAAATGCTCATGAAACAGACAGGCCTGCCTATAAGGCTGAGACCCCTTCAGACACCTGTCACTGAGTGCTTTTCTGAAGTCCCTTGAGGTACGGCTCTGCCAAAGTGATATACTGTAGAAAGTCACATTTCATACTTTCAATGCTCTCTGGCTCTCATAATTGTATTCCAGCCTGGAGGTCTCTACCATGGCAAATTACAGGTTTTCTTTACTTACCAAACCTCTTTCGGGTCCACCAGTGTGGCTCTTTGAAAGTGGTGAACTTGACGTCAGGGTGCAGCCTCAGTCTGTCATACAGGTCCGTTGTGCCACACTTTGGCTGGCCAATGATATAGAAATATGGAAGGCACCGCATGCGGTAGAGTTTACCGTCGCGGTGAAACAAGTGTTCTCGGAAAGTGTTCCTCAAGTGCTGAAACACCGTCCGGAAGCGCCTCGAGTAGCGTGCATACAAGTTTGTCCTGTATGGGTCCGAAGTGATATTCCCAGTGTATTCCTCATACCAGCAGGGGTTCTTGACACCAGGCAGGAATTGGTGGGGGACAACAGAAAACATCTGTAAAGGCAAAGAAAGCAGGCTCCATTAAGCTGCTAAGTCACCGTACCTCCTAAATGTATAAAACATTTCAGACAAAGCCTTCTGTAAACTCTTAAAATTATGATTGCTAAGGCTGCACGATGGAAGATAAATTTGTTCCAGTCATTTCACAGATGCATTAAAGGAAGAGGTTTCTTTAAACAATTTAAAAACTTTTTGTATGGGCTACTGTTCTGGTAGGTGTAGGAAAATGCCATCTGTGTGGAATCCAAGTGCACGTTCAACAAGTTTTTGCAGCAGGATACAGTCTGTAGAGGGGCAGATTTGCAGTATATTGGCTTTAGATGCATAGACACACTGACACAAGTGAGTGCACATGTCCATGCACATACAGTGCAGTCAGTACAGTATTTAGAAATTCATATTGTTTTGTCTCAAATTCAGGGACCTTTTATTTGAGATTAGATGAACACAGGGAACTGCAGACCTTGTTATACACAGTGCTCCAATTTTAGGAGAGAGAACGTGATTAGAGAAGTTCCCATCATTTCATGATTTTTAATATTTGGTATCAAATCCTTTGCATTCAATGATTGTCTGAAGGCTACACACTTTCACTGTTGATGCTCTGCCTGGCCTGTACTGCAGCCACCTTTTCCCCCCTTCAGTCTGGTCCTCAGCAGCACATGATCAGTTGAATTGAGGGCAGGCGACTGACATGGCCAAGAACATTTCACTATTTGGCTATAAAAAACTTTAAATATTGTCCTGATGCACTGCCCTTAAAAGTCCTTTACTGTAATGTTCTGGACTCCCATGATAAACTACAAAACAAATAGCATATCTGTCCCATTATTTTCTACATACTGTACATGCAGCCCGCCCTGGGAGAGTAAAGCAGATTTATCCTCAGAAGTGAGGCAACACATTTCCAACATTCAGTCTTTTTCTACTCACATTTCAGTGTTTTTTGACGATCAAACACAAAGGCCCATGACTCCCTCACTGCCTGTTAGTCACAGCTACTTTAAGGACAATTAATGCCGGATCCATCCACAGATGTGGTATTGATTGTCCTGCGGCCACACTCTCCTATTCATTAGCATGGTTCAATAAGAAATTAGTTATGTTGCAAATAGCCCTGGCCATTATCATTAGGATTAACAATTAATTGAACCAGGCTGTGAGTTGAGACGGACACAGCGAGAAAGCCACGGGGCCAGTGTGTTCGAGGACTGTAGGATGACTTTGAGCTTTAAATCCCTTCTTTAATATAATGGTAGAGACATATGCAATTATCTGGTGTGACCTGAAGTTTTATACAAGGTTTTTCAAGGCAGTTTTATCTCTTTATAAATTAAATTAGGAACTACAACCATTGGGAAATTGCAACAGCATAGCTGTATTGAACCCTGTATAGACAGCATGTAGGCATGAATACTGATTTGTATCACCTTTTTACTTAATATTTAATTATGCTTCGGGACACATCTGTGATGTTCAATTAAAAGAGAGATCAATATCATGCTGGGCCATGTTCGTATTGTGAATAAAATAGAGAGATAACACTTACACTATAAGGCATTGAGGTGTTCATTACGGCAATCGACCTGATAACAAAATATAATTTTTGATAGAATTTGTGTCCGCAAGGATCTCTTTGAATATATTAAATGAGAAATAAGAGAGATATAGGCTTTGGCTGTACTCACATGTGGCTCACTATTAACCAGTGCCTTGAGCTCAGGGAGATGTCGACTGCTGCGAAACTCCACCTTGGATGTGATGGACTTGACCACTAGTTTGATATGTGCGTAATCCTTGACTGAGGAGAGGTTGAAGGCAAAAGGTCCTGGACTGACCAGGCTGCTGAAGTGGTAGGGTGAAGGGGTGAGGAGGAGGCCCTTCTTGTCTCCTGTCAGAATATACGAAGCCATGATGAGGAACATGACAGCCAGGCCAAACAGGAAGCTGTAGAGCCGGATCTTGCGGAAGCAGCCCAGAGTGCTCCAGCGCCTCGGCAGCTCTCGTTTCACCTCCAGGACTGCAAACAAGTTCATGGGCGTGTCATCCACCTGCAAGAGCAATGGCCTCTTGCGGTAGTCGTCCACAAGGGAGCCCAGCAGGGTGTATTTGTAGTCCATCTGGGTCATGGTGTCAACAACCTGCAAATCCCAGGTGTCACCAGTCAGACACAGGGAGGCGTTATGTAGCAGAGGCCAGCCAGACAGGAGGTTTTGGTATGCGGGAATGGCCGACAGTTGAAATCCATGATGAGTTGTGGAGAAAAGCCGACATCATCAACTGACATCTGCCTAGTAAGAGGAAAAAGAAAAAAACTGAGAGATGACATAACATTGAGTCTTTGTTTTCACTACTTTCTGTAGAACTGAGGTTCCCTGGGAAACATTTGAAATAGCTGTAAGATGCATCAGATTCCCCAAAAGTTTCACTGAGAGAGAGAGACACACGAAAGGCAGGGGAGAGAGGCGATGACATGCAGCAAAGAGCCTGGGCCAGATTTGAACCTGGGCCGCTGCCGTTAGAAGAAGCCCTGGAACAAGGGTACTTCATTTTAGTTTCAATGTACATTTTATACCTCAAGAGCATGCCATCACATCCCTTAGTCTCTCGTAATGACAAAATAATGCTGCTTTGTGGAAGCAGTCAAATGATTATATAGCTGAAGGGAATTCCCTTTAAACCCTTTCGCTTCTGCAGTTGTAGCAATGTAACCTCAGGCTGAACAAAAAAATTGATCCCAGAGAAAAACAGCAAAAGAACTCAGTCAGCTCTAAATATTTATGCCTTAGATGAAATGCCACTAACCAGTCACCCTGTAAATGACAAATCACTTCAAAATGTCACAATTTCTTGGAACACCACACATAATTTTGACTGTGTGCCTAATAATTGTGGTACACAAGGTTAGATTCATTTCAGTGACTGCCTCTTACACTTCCTGTTAAAATCAGCCAGCACAGCAACACCCTCCCCCTAACCTCACAGTCCATCCTCCCATCCGCCCTGTGCATCGGAGTCACAATATGGAGGGAGCGATAAGGACGAGGGATGCATTCAGCCTGGAAACTACGAGGCTGTGTGTCAGACTCTCCTGGGGAGAAACACAAATATAAGAGATAGGCTACCCGGCCTGGACCGGAGAAGGGATTATATTATCAGAAAATGGTATTCCTCACTGTGAAGTCACATGGATCAACAGTCGCCCACAGATAAAAGGAGGGCTAATGTCTAAAGGGTACAAGAATTGGGAATCTATAATAATAATGCTCCTGCAGCTGCAACGTCTAGTGTTATCCTTGAAGCTTTCTTTGTGTCTGGAGCTGAGCCAACATGATGGTAGTAAATACAATACAGCATAATGATAAAAAGCTAGAGCCGAGGGTCCGGGACACTTTTCAGCGTAAGAGTGGGATGTTCGGGAATATGGCACACTTGAAATTGCATGGATACAGCCATGAGGTAGATATATGTTATACCTGCAACCTGCTCCTGCTCGCATACATCATAAGATAGGTGCTCTATGAAAGTGAGTCATCGCTTCTCCTCACAGCTGCTGATACAGTCTGCCCCCTCCGCGTCACACACACACCCACCATCGCCCACACCCTTTGGACAGTTTCTGTAGAGCTGATAAGAAGACGACTGGAGAGCGTCTGCCTACCTGCTCAAGCAATGTCATTTACCCCCAGCTGGGCCCTCAGCATCAGGGCCACAGCAGCAGTCTCTCTGGGAGGCAGGTGGATAAATGTCAAGCCTGCACAAAGGGCCCGTGCCTTTCAGTAGCTTACATGACCCCCTCCCAATCTTTAAAACAACCAGGTATTTCTAAGGTACTGGCAGACGACAGAAACCACAAAGCACCCAAGGATTTGAAGTTCACCACAGTGATACAGTCTCAAAACCGCAGTTCAACCACCGAGTCCCTATCTCAGTTCAAATCGTCCATATCACACCAAAAACATCCTCTTAGGGATCCCAGCAAGCAAGCATTAAATACTGCATTTTTCCTGTCCGCCAAAGTGGTGGACTGCAGGTGGCAGGTGCTAATTTCAGAACCTGTGTGGGGTTTTAACACATTTTCTAAAGTGATGAAAGGAAAAAGACTGAGGTTTGCTTTTAACAGAAATGTAATCACTGCAGGTCAGATGCCCTTTCCATCACATAGAAGGACTCTACACTGTGTAATCAAAGTCTAAAAGTAGGATGAGCATATGCACTCATCTGTAGTCGTCATGCCTTCAGCGTTTATTGACTGTGTTCTTCAAGGCGGAAGCCAAAGGGGGGCTCGTGCTCAAGGTTATTTAAAATGGAGGGAAAGAGGACATGAGGGTTAGAGAGCGATAAGAAGTGAGTAGAAAGATGAAGAGAAAGAAAGAGGCAAAAGGGACTGTCATTGACGAGACAATGTCACTCTCACGGGAACTCGCATCTAAATCAATCAGTCAGCTAACTGTTTCAGCGGGCAACTGGCAGCTTGACAGATCTGCTCTATTCATAAAGCAAATACATTGCTCCTGTCCATCAAACGTGATGAAATAGCTTAACTCGAACAGAAATGTTGCTAGAGGACAGTGGACAAAGAGGACACGAGGTTGCACCATCTGCCTTTTCAGCTGACAAACCTTCAAATAATAGTTAAGCGTGGATTTTTGAACATTTTCCTTTTCTCTGGATGGATATTTACCACATTTATTTCTGCACCTCCACAATAATTTAGTGCCTGTCTGTAGGACAAATGAGTACCTAATAAGGTTATTGTAAAAAAGTAAGTTGTAAGTAATTAAATACAGTATTTATTAAAGCTTTATAGTTAAAAAATAATCATTAATAAGACAAACATTCGGATTGCTGGGTTATAAAAAATCCCCCTGGCTGCTATATATCCTCGTCTAGCATAATGGACTTTTATTAACGTTTACTATCATCAGTAGCTTTTGTATAACTATTACAGCCTGACTGACTAGACGTTTGAGGCAGATACTAATATCTGATTTGACATATTAGTCAATATTATTTTTTATGAGGATCCTTTTAAATTTGGTTAGTGAAAAATGTGACCAAGATTCTTCCAAGCATGTCACAGTTGGGTGTGGTTGGTGGACCCAAATGCAGGACACAGAGCGGAGCAGGTACACTTCAAAGGGTTTAATTTCAACAAAAGGTGAATACACTTAGAGGCACTGGGTGAGTCTAAAACAAAAAAAAAACAAAGGTATGGGGAAACACAGATTGAAGGCACAGGCAGGCAAGGTTACAGCCAGATATCCAGGGCAGAATGAACAATGCAGAAGATAGAGCATTAAGCCACCAACTACACATAACAGAGCAACAGCATGCTACAATGACTGGACAAAGACTGAACAGAACACAGGCATTAAGTAATAGGGCTAACAAGCAGGGAGGGAGTCAACAGGTGAAAAACATGAGGGACTAATCAGAAACAGGAACAAGCTAGACACAAACACCAGACTACTACAAAATAAACCAGGAAGTAAAGCATGCGACAACAGACCAGGACCAAACCAAAATGCAGAATACAAAGTGAACACTCAACAGATGAAAACTAAACCAAACATGAAACAAGCAGACTGAACACTGAACACAAGGCACAGGCAACTGACACAAGAGAAGAAACAAACTGGAACACAGAACAGACTAAAAACTAATCATACAGATAGACTACAAATGTAACAGAGGTAACAGACTGAACTAAGAACATAACACAGAGGAGACATGGGCAACACCAAAGTACACAGACCAGGAATAAACACTAAGACATGAACTAAGACACAGAACTAAAATGCAGGAATAAACCAAGATACGAGACAGAACAGGTACTAAGTGAGCTAAATTGGACGTGCAAAGGAACAATGAAATAAACAAGGCTAAACAGAGGAAACACAAGACAACAGACAGGATCGTGACAAAGCAGGATATTTATTTTATACATTTATTATTCAGGCTTAACTTATTACTTTTATTTTAATTGTTTTGGGGGGGCTATATGTAGTTTTTCAATTAAGTCACTTATTAATAAATCAAATTTTTACTGCATTTTTGTCAATGGTCTGTAGCCTCACTTACCAATTAAGCACACGCCTGTTTTCTCTGTTGCTTAAGAAATGCAGTCCACTAACACCATAAAACGACCGGCTCCCAGCACAACGCAGACTCCAACATAAACTCCATGTAAGGATACAAAACAACAATGTTTTATGTGCTGAAGCCCATCAGACCAAACGAGATTCAGATGATGTCGGGTGAAAACAGTCAACATCAGAAAGGCTGAAGTCATGTTAGCTCATGTTATCCGGTGCAAAGTTGTATCGCTTTCCACATTACTTATAAGCGACCCATATTACTATCCTGTGTACTACCGGTATTATATCAAAGTGTTGATTTAGCCTGCAAGAAATTATGTAATGGTAATGTAGCCGGGTTAAAAATGCTATACATTGTGATTAACTGATAAAAAGCATATAAAGCATGTGGGAAAAAAAAAAAATTCATTGTTGTTAAAAATGTGGTTTACAAGCTATTTCATAAAAGATTAAAAAGCTACAGTGTAATACATATGTTTAAGATATGTGCAGTTATAAATGTTTTATTTTGAAGAGTTCTGTCTAGTAAAGAGTAAGTGGTATGTAAGAATAAGGGTAATACTGGTCATTCATTGGTCTATGTCGGGGGTTCAGAGGTGCACAGGAAGAGAGAGTAAGAATGTAGTTCATGCAAAGTAGTATGTAGTAAGTTGGTGTTTTAGACTATCCACTCGACACTCTTAGCACAGAATACCATCGTGCGTACTTTTTGGTGAGAAGTAAAAGACATTTCTGCTCGAACTGTATCCTACAGTTGTCAGTAGCACATTTGCCGACAGTGTTCTGTGTTAGCATTCATTAGCAAAGTGCATACTATTGACCTAGTTCACTGTTTGATGTGAAAACTCTGAAGAGTTATCTGAAAGTTACAACTGCAAAGTCAAAGCTCAGAGTTCTTCAGAACGAGGGACACAGACCAAGCCAGTTTGGACGCACGCTTTCACTCCTGTTCGCCACCAGAGACCGAGAGACTACAGCTGCAGAGCGCGAGACAGACCACGCCATCTTTGGACCTGCTTGCCCTTGTTTTGCTGGAGGCCGAGAAAGACTGTTGAACTCTGCACAGTGGATTGAACTGTTACCTAAGGTAAAAACTCTTTCATGCTGTTGCTCCTTTGAGTGAAGTGGACCCATAGTTTATGTATCGTCGCTGTCAAGCACCGCAACAGGCCTGCAACAAAGTTTGGGGT